CATAACTCAATTATTTACTATCCTTTACACGAAACTGATTTCCGACATCTTTGTTTTCTATTCTAAATTTCTAATAAAATCTGTAACACACAAAAGGAATACAATTTACCCAACATTACAAAAGATATTATTTACAAGTATATTACATTGATGCAAATGTAAGCAAATTGTCAGCGTTCAGGTAAAGAGAAACCAAGAAAAGATAGATATTTGACCAAAAAAGAAGAGAAAAATTACATCTTTGACGTCGAAGCCAAGGTGGCGAATGGCATTCCTCACGCCGCGAACATTGCCGGCGCCGTAGTCGAGCAGAGTCACCGCTGTTTCATTATTCAAACAGACTCAATTATTATTGAAATTAATGATTTACTAAAACACATATTAGAGAGAGGGGAGGGAGAAGGAGAGGGGGCACCGGAATCTGCGGCGGCGGAGGCACGGACGGAGAAGTTTGTGGGACGTCTGAAATTGAGGCGAGTATTGGGAAGGAATAGAAGGGAGGAAGGGGAGGCTGAGCGAACGGTAGCGTCTTGGTGGAAGAGGCGAATGGTGGCGCCTCCATTGCAGATAGTGTTCCCCGCCTGAGTCTGAGTACAAAGTACAAACTGCAGAGTCGATAGTAGAGTTGGGACCTACAGGCTAATGCTATTTGTTTTTGGCATGTGTCTTAAAATATACTGCAGCGCAACATTTTCGCTGAATTCATTATTTGTTTTAGGTTTTTTTTTTTGCCTGAACAGTCATGATATTAGTAGTGGCCTATGAATTTGTTCATAGTTATATGTCAATATTATCGTAAAATTGTCATGTAAATAATTACATGACTACTTTTTAGATGGCATTTTTTACAAACCAACCCCTTCACTTAATAAAGATATTGACATATTTTTCTTGAAATGACAAAAATACTTTACGGTGGACAAACTTAGGGGTCACTTCTATCGATTTTCTTTGTCAAATGACTAAAGTACGAAGTTATGTCAATTCCAAAGACTATTCTGACTAGGGGTGGGCAAACGGGCCCTGGGCCAGTAGGTAGGGGCGGGTATTAGCTGTTCGGGGCGGGTCCTAATTTTAAAAAAGAGAAACGGGGCTGGGCGGGGCGGGCCTTTGAAATTTTAGGTTTGGGCCGATTCCAGAAGTATAGAAAAATGGGTACCCGAACCGGCCCGTTTACAAAAATACCCTGTGTTAGGTACTGTTACTGTCTCCCAGGCCCACGTGTTTTTTGTTCCTCCCTATGGGCCGTGACAGTTCTCACTCGAGAACAGTCCACACACACACCTCACCCATTTCCCCGTGTTTCCCCTTCCCCCAATCTCTCGAACCTTCTCCCTCACTCATCTTCTTTGTTTCTTCTTCCCCCCATCTCTGCAACTCTCATTCCCGGAGCACCCCACCGATAAATGATATGATGCCGCCGCCTCACAAATTCTTCCCCTGACGAACGATACATGGATTGGCTCTTCTGCCTCTAACTCCTCCACACACCCTCTGTTTCTTCAAATAGATGGACCGGGAGGTTTTGGATCTGAGATATAAGAGCTGGTTGAACGTGGTGAAGATCTCGATCTCCACACTCTTCAATGGCGAGCGAATCCTTTGCGACCACGTGTTCTCATCCTCTGCCTCGATCCGCGAGTCCTGCTTCACGGACATTTCACGCGAGGCGGCGACTTTGCTCTTCAGCTTCCCGCAAGTTCTAGTGGCGGTAAAGAGCAAGAAGAACTCTCTCGACATTTTCTGCCTCCTTGACATGTACATTGCGATCTCCGAGAACTAGCCGGAGATCGAATCCATCTTCGGCTTTGAATCCATGGTTGCCGTCCGTTCTCAGGCGCTCAACTTGCTCATCAAACTCAGCGAATCGGTGCTATTTGTGTTCTCCGATTTCGAGTCCATGGTCCAGAAAGACTCGTCCAAATTCGACTAGGAATTTGGGTTTTGGATACTGGAAATTAGAAGAGAAAAAAAAAACAGGGTACCCGTTGGACCCGTAGGAACCGGCCTGTTTTATACGAGTCGGGTTAGGTCCGGTTCTCAGTTTGAAAATAGTAAAACCCGCCCCGCCCCGCCCGGTTGTATTTTCAAGCGGGTCCGGTCCCTTCAATTTTAGGCCCGGCCTGGCCCGTCCCCACCCCTAATTCTGACTAAAAAGCTAACACCCTTAATATTAGTAGGCCATACTCCATAATGCAACAATATTTGATGGTTTATTCACTTTAGTATAGCAAAATTAATACTTTAATCAAAATACTAAGGAAACTTAGGCCATCTCCAACCGAAAACTGGCTAGATGGCTCGTTTTAGCACTCTGGCCCTCCAAGATTAATGAACAGTACAAGGTCATATTTGCCTCCATCTCCAATTGAGGGCCAAAGGGTCATAAGGCTCGTTTTAGCCCTGTCACAAAAAAGTCTCCAACCAAGGGCCAAACATAATTTCTTATTTTAAAACTACAACTTAAATTCAAATCCAACAGCTAAGTGACGTCAGCTAACCATTGGATTTGAATTTTTTTTGCTATAAATAGGGTGGATATTGGGCTATAATTCACACAACTTTGAATTCAATCTATTTCAATTTAATCTATTTCAATTCAAGTTTGCAATGAATTCCAACTTTGGATCCTTTTCGGATTCCAACTGGCGGTCCTCATCCAATTCCAAATTGGAAGAAAAATGAGCGCAAATGAGACGAGAAGATGAGGAATCTGATGAAGAAGTTCAAGTAAGGCACAACAAACAAAACAGAGCAGTAGCCATAATTGTGGCCATGGTGTGTCAGCCAACTAAGGAACAACCTCAATGGGGTGGCTCTGTTGCTGGTCGCTCTTACAAACCACGAAACAGAGCGATGACGCATGCCAATCTAATGAACAACTACTTCAACCCTAACTCGGTATACACAGAAGATGATTTCAGACATCGCTTCTGGATGAGGCATCATTTTTTCGAGCATTTATTTCGTGATGTCCAGCAGGTCAATCCATACTTTCAACAAAAGCGGGACAGAGCAGGCCACTCTGGTTTCTCACCTCATCAGAAGGTTACTATTGCACTCCGAATGATGGCTTATGGCTCCCCAGTTGATTCGATGGATGAAACCCATGGTATGTCTGAGTCTACATGCGTTGATACTCTTGAACAATTTTGTGACACAATTGTTCATGTTTACAAAGACGAGTACCTTCACGAGCCAAATCAAGAAGATATGAATTGGCTTATTCGCAAAGCTGAAGACCGTGGGTTTTCGGGCATAATAGTGTCATTAGACTGCATGCATTGAGATTTGAAGAATTGTCCTACTAGATGGCAAGGAGGCTTATGCGGAAGATCGAGAAAGCCAACTGTTGTGTTAGAGGCAGTTGTCTCATATGACACATGGATCTGGCATGCTTTCCTTGGAGTTATCCCAAAATGAAATTACAGTTCTTGGGCGTTCACACCTCTTCAATCGCCTCACGGAAGGTAAAGCACCTTAACTTGACTACTACATCAACGGTTGTCAATACAATATGAGGTATTACTTGGCAGATAACATCTACCCAAAGTGGGCAACACTTGTCCAAGAAATTCCAAACCCTAGGATTGATGCGGAAAAGTTGTTTACCTTACACCAAAAGGCATACCGGAAAGATGTTGAGAGAGCTTTCGGTATTCTACAAGCACGGTGGAAGATCATCAGCAAACCGGTAAGAAGGTGGAGTCGAGAAAATTTGGACTCCATCATGATGTCTTGCATCATATTACACAATATGATAGTGGAGGATAAGCATGATAGGTATATTGATGGAGAGTCCGATGACGACCAAGACGATCCAAATAGGTCAAGAAGGGCTCGTGCAAAAATATATGGTGGGTCTAATTTGCCTTTCAATCCAAGAACTGATAGTATCTCTATAAATGAGTACATGAGGCGCTATAGAATGATATGTTCCCATGCCACAAACAAGTACCTACAACAGGATCTTGTTGCACATCTTTGGGCCAAAAGAAGCATGGAGTAGGCGGTTTTATGTTGTTAAATGTTTTTAAAAATGTTGTTTAAGTTTCATATTGTTAAATGTTTTTTTATGTTGTATAATTTTTATGTTGGTTAATGTTATTTAATGTTGTTTCATATTGTTTAATGTTGTTTCATGTTACTTAATTTAATTTAATGTTGTATAATGGCTTAGGAAGTTATAGGAAAAAAATAGAATTAAAAAAAAATATGAAACAAATTTTGTAAAATAGAAGTTATAGGAAAAAAAGTAAAATTTAAAAAAAAAAATATGAAACAAATTTTGTAAAATAGAAGTTATAGGAAGTTATAGAAAAAAAAAATAGAATTTAAAGGAAAAAGATTTTGCAAAAAAAAAAATAAAACTATAAAAAAAATTCAAAAATAACGGCTAGCTGACGTCAGCTAGCCGTTGCATTTGAAAATTTGGCCTAGCATCCGACAGGAATATTCATATTGTTGTCGGTTGGTTATATCCGACAGGAATGCTCAAATTTCTAGCCCAGCCTGGGGCTGGCCCTTTGGCCCTTTCAGATTTCGTGGGGCCCACAAGCCCTCTGGCTTAGCCCTCTGTTGGAGCTTGTTTTTGAGTTATTTCGGCCCTCTGGACCCTTCAGTTGGAGATGGCCTTAGGAAAGGGGGAAATGAAAAAACGGAAACACATTAATTTAAAAAAAAAAAACTTTATTTACCAGGACAATCCACCATTTATAAGAATATTTGATGTTATTACAAAATTATTTGTTAAAGAAAGGAGGTTAATCACTTTAACCTGAAGCCCCCTTTATTCTCAATGACTTAAAAGAACCATTTGAAAAAAATATCTCATTTCCTGAAACAAGAAGATGTCCGATCCCTAAGAGACACATATACCAAGTGTGTCCTTGGGGACATGATGAAATTATTCTATCCCTGCCTCATGTAATCGTGGAAAGTACAATTCTTTGATTTTTAAGTTCGCAGAAGCAAGCTGTTGAATCTCCTGGTAACTCAGAAGAAACATATCGCACAGGACACCTACAAAACAAACCCTATACATTTATTACACCATTGGTTTTTAAACCTTATATTTTCAACATCCTTCACCTTCATGTAATTAGCTAGCAAAATCATTGAAAAAAACAAATTAACTTTGTTGCTAATTACCAGAAGCAATATGAATCAAGTTTTGTTTACACTCGTGCTGGCTGAAATGGCATTGATTCTGAGCCTTTTGTTCCAAACCCCTGTGAGGAAGTTGGTGATCGTGGGGTTAGATCGATCGAAGCAAGGGCGAGGGCCCTTGGTGGCGAAGAGCGTGGGAGGAACCATTCTCGTCTTCTTTAGCTCCACCATATATAGTGTATTCAGTGTTCAGAATCGTTTAACAGAGACAGGCTTTGTCAATCCAACAGATGAGGTTCTTATGGCACATCGTCTCCTAGAAGCATCTCTCATTGGTAAGCTATGTCCATAGTAACCCTTTTCGTTAAAATTTACTTGGGGAAAAACTATATCAGTAACCTTGCTAGGGTAAAGTTGTTGGAGTTTTCAATTTTGATGATTGCATGTATCTAATTTTTGGGCGATGAATGAAAATCCTTTTCTGTTGGCAATTCTGTAACCAATCTCATGTCATGTTAAGTCTTGTAAAACATAACTCTTCGAAGCAGAAAAAGCTTAGTCGGAAGTGAAGAAAGTTGAGGCTCCATGCACCCTAAATCCAATAGGTGGAGTCATCCAACTCCTTATAAACCTTTGAGAGGTTTTTTAAATTTCCGACGTGGGACAATATATTCTTCACGTAATCACAACAAGTACCATGTTGCCTTCTGTCCCAATTAAAAAATACATAGTTTGCCTTAATTATAAGTTCAGTGGTTTTGCAGCAAGGTAACGAATACAACTAGGCCGATGCCAAACACCGGTTTATAGTTAGAGGCTAGCTTTTGTTCATAATTTATATGTTTTTATTTAGCTAGTTGTAATTATGCCTTTTTTCTCTAATTATACTTGGAATGTTTGTCATTGCACAGGGTTTTCCTTATTCCTGGCAATGGTTATAGATAGACTACACTACTATATCAAAGAGCTCTATCTGCTCCGAAAACGTGTTGAAGAAGTGAAGAATCTGAAAAAGGATCAAGAGCACAGGGAAAGTACTGCTCCTGCAGAAGTGAAGAAGGCAACACAGATGATAGATAAGGCAGCCGAAAGCTGACTTATGAAGAAGAATAACCAAATGAGCTAGCAAAAGCTCCCAATAATGAATTCACTGATTAGTTCACATTAATAGTAGAATTGGTCAATACCAAAGTTTCTCATTAATCCCCAAACAGTAATTCAAATCAACATGGATTGATCATCACTGACATATTAATGCATACATAGCTTGCTAAATTTTAGATTGCTTCATAGAATAGATGAACTACTAGGGTCTCATGTAAATATAATACATACTTACAAAGTGCAATTTCTTTTATTGATAACACGCAATGTGATAAACTGGGAGCATGCGTAAGTTGGGCTTGAAATTTAATAAATGGGAGTTGGTCGATTTTTATATACAAATAATACTGATCAACTTTAAAGGTATAAATTGCTTAGAGAGAGATTCAAACTTTGAGTCTACATAAAAATCAGACCCTAATTGCTAAAGTCCAATGCACAAACACATAATTTTTTTACAAGTTCAATAAAGAAAAATTAGGCGAGATTAGCCCTTCGGCAATGGTCGCGTGCAAGGTACCTACTCTCCCTATTGAGGTGAGAACCATTACACCCAAAAAAAACCCTCCGTCCCTCCTTCACCATTTTATTAAGAAATATAAAGGAAAGTAAATGAAAAAAAAAACAAAAAAACAAACCAGGCGAACTAATTCAAAACCCGCAGTGATCAAATGGTCAACGAAACCGATAACAAAAATTTAAGTTATGAGAAGTCAAGTTTCAATGTGACTTTTATTTTCCTATTCAAACCCTAACAAAAAAAATAATTAAGTTAGGGAGTAAAATTGGCTCATGAGCTCTCATGGGCTAGTTTAACTCCGGTAGGTGTGAAGAATGAAGATGCAAAACCTTTGAACAGGCTAATTTGGTGTCTGCAATTTGATGAGATATGATAACTCCATCTTCCAGAAAGCGAGCGTACCATCAAGCTATTCAATCCTAATCATCAAATGAACCACATATACATGTTTTCCATTTACAGATGAGTACGAGAGAATACCAATATTAGGTGAAATAACAATGCATCTTATATTTCGATAGGGTGTTCGAATAGATGGTGCTGATCTGAAAAATCTCTCCCAATTCACCAAACATATGGTAAGCTAGCATTGCCGTTGAGTAGAGACATATTTGACACGTCACAATTACGCAAGGATGATCGCATAAATTTTGCTTGTTTGTTAAAAGCCTTTAGGTCTTGCGAGTCCTGTGTTGACCTTTCAATACCACAAAGAGAAAATGAAGGGAAATAGTGAAGAGCCAACATGTTTGACTCTTCCAGAAGTCGATTTTCATCATGGATTGGATGGATCTATTAATAAGTTGACGTCTTAAAATTAGTTGACTTTGTTTAAAGTCTCTTTTCGTTTATACTCTACGCCTAGTTGCATGCATTTTTCCTTTTATTAAAACAAACACCCTTTTAATTCTTCCATCCCCTTGCTGTGCCATAGAACACATTCGCTTTACTTCTTCCACTAGATGTCAATTGCCAAAGGAGGTTAGGTAATGCCAATTTAATAAGACTATTGAATGGTGTGTTAAGTTCACAAGAAGAATTGTTCTATGGCCATGAAGGAATACGACACGACACGGGAGTACGAAAGGATACCGTCGTGTCCATGCATAGTAGGTTATAATTTAGATTCTCTTGGTGAATTACATTATATGACAGTTGATGCATCAATTAGAAATTGATTTTGTTAAGTAATACAAGAATTATCCATACAAATTATACATGTGTCGGTGGTTAAGAGCAAAATGAAATTATGAGTCAGAGAAAAAGTTGGTAGTTGATACATATAACATACATATATTATAGAGAGAGAGTGTGTGGATGTGTACTATTTATTTGCGAATTGAGCACCCCCCCCCTCCCCACCCATGATATTAGAATGGGGAAAGAATTAAACTTTGAATTTGAATATTATTCAGCTACAAAGCCATGATAGAGAATAGGTAGTGGGAACAAACTTGTTGACTCCTCTCAATTGTCTAACAAAAGTCTCTCTTCTTCGTTCACGCAGGAAGCTTCATCAACCTCTCAATAAATTAAATTGACTTCTATGTCAAGCCAAAATATATATGAAGACTTGAATAATCTCCGGTAGTATGTGAGAGCGAGGTTTATAATACTAGTGTCGTGCCGTGAAAGTCCTCCTTTTAACCGCCTGCCCGAAGCTGGCCACTGTTGTAGTTGCAGAAGGGAAGAAATCGAACATCAGAGCAGAGATCAATTCACTGGCTATGGCTAGCTCTTCACAGACTGTAAATGGATTTAACCCTTCACATGCATGTCAGTGAAAAGCCTAATGCCCACATGATATATTGTTGTCATGAGGAGAATATTCAAAGAAAATATATGCAAACAAAAAGGCTGGCCTAGCTTGCAAAACTTAGGTGTACAATAGAATAATGCAATCTTCCTAAGATCAATGATTGGGATATGTTTAAAAATTAAAAAGAAATCAAAAAATTAAAAGAACAAGCTGGCCTTGTTTCTCCTTCTGGATAACACGAGAGACAGCTCCTCTTGATTTGTGTATAGAGACGGCATAAGAGGCCAAAAGGGGTGAATAAATACATGCAGATCCAGGTTATGTGTATGCTTAATTAAGCTTAGGAATATATAAATAATCAGAGTGACAACTAATCAAAAGTCACAGTTTGGTACCCTAACTAAGGTCCTTAAGTAGAGGGAGCATTCCTGTCGAAACATGTAAAGCTCCACATCCGAAACCTGATAAAATAAAATCCTCCTTAAAATGAAAAATTGCATCGATGCCTTTTGTATAACACCATTGGCATATTAGACTGCAACGATAATTAAGTTATGAACAATATTAATGTTTGATTAGTAGCGAGCCGTTGAATCAACTATGAAACTTTGACAATTCAAGTTTGAGACCTCTTCTAGTATTGGGAGCAGCAGGATCGCTAAACGGGTAGCTAGTCGGTGATTTGTCAATGCTATAGGCTTGTCGCCCTTGGAAGTTGGAACTACTAAAACTAAAACAAAATAGAAAAGAAACTCCACTAATGTTACTTTGGCAGGCAAAACTAAGACACGAATGATAACAATGGGAGTGAATAAAATCATAATTCTGATTATCTGATTCAATTTCAAGATGGTATGATACAAAATAATCTTCTATCACACTATTACTAATCATAAATTCAAAATCTAAATCCTCATCGGAGTTTAAACTCTCAGTCTCTTCAAGAACAATTGAAGCCACAGTTGAAGAAGTTGCAGCAAAAACTTCATCGTCTGAGACGACATTGTTGTTTGCAACATCCAAGTTTTCGAGTTCTTCGTCGCCATTGCTTCTAACAGTTGACCAACTTTCGTCAAATTCCCAATTGGGTGCATATGAAGATGTCGAAAATCCAATCAGTTTCTTGATCCTTTCTGTTGGAGAATTCAAACAAACACCTTCAACCTCAACAGATTGCAATCCCGTTGGACTTTCAGATCCTTCAAATGAATCCCAAAGGCCTTGATCCAACACACTAATTGGAGACCCCATTACTTGCTCTGTATTGAACTTGGACCCCAAATGCTCTTCCAGAAATGGATGCTCAAGAAGCTGCTTAGCTGTCCACCTCTCTCTTGGATCTTTCATCAAACACTTGCTCAAGAAATCCTTACCCTTGCTCGAAAGTCGGCTTGGAATCTCCGGTACCTCACCGGAGAACCCAATCCGGTAGATAGCTGAAACCGGATCATTTATCTCCGGCCAAGGCCCGCCACCGGTTGCCATTTCTATAATTGTGCACCCTAGAGCCCATATGTCAGCCCCAAACCCCTGCTCCTCGCCGCGAGCAACCTCTGGCGCCATAAACACCGGCGTACCCGAAATAGTAGCACTTGCCTCGACAGAGTATTCGTCCTCTGCAACTCCTTGTACCAATTTAGCACAACCCAAATCGGCAATTTTGGCGCTCTCTTCGGTCGCCAAAATGTTTTGGCTCTTGATGTCACAATGTACCAACTTATTCTCATGCAAATACTCCAATCCTTGCACAATTTGATGTGTGTACAGTTGGATCATGGCCTCCTCTAGCGGCCCTCCCCGCCTCCGAATCGCATCGAAAAGCGTGCCGCCGGATACGTACTCCATGCAGAGATTGTACATATGCTCGTTGTTTTCAATGCTAACATTGCAGCCCAAGTACTTAACTATATGGGGGCAACTTAGCTTGGACAAGAAACATTGCTCCTTCTGCAAAAAAGACGAGCTGGAGAGCTCGGTAGACTTCACCGCAAATCGTTCGCCGGAGATGGTGCTGGTGGCGAGGGAGACTGTGGCAGTGGAGCCGCGGCCGACGGTCGGTCCTCGGGTCCAGTGCTCCATGGCAGAAGAGAAAATGTGAGAGTTTTGAGTTTTATGTTTGGTGGCGATTTTTGAAATGTATGCCTGAATGGCTAAATGCTCATTATTTATACGTGACATTGGGGTTGGGGGGTCCAAAAAGTAAACCCCAAAAGTATATAAAATAAGATGTTAATTAACCAGATAATTAACTGTTAAAGCTTCTTGTAATCGAGCCACGTGGCAAAAGGAGAGGGGCGTTTGACAGCTCTGGCCGTCTTGGAGCGCAGTTACTTAGGCTTGTAATAACGCCACCCACATGGCGACACATGAAGCCACATGCCAAGATTGCGGGCTTAAGAGGAGATTATGGGGGGAAGAGGGGAATATGCTGCTTAAGTGCTTTTGCGTTTTGGAGAAGTCGGCATTCTTTTTTTTTTTCGGCGGCGCCAAAAAGTACTTAACAAACCTCTAGATGCATCGTCTTTCTCTTTCAACGCGGTTTTTGAATATTTTTTCTTTCAGTGTGAATGGAGCTTACTTTTGCACTATGACTTGCTCTACATGGGTTGAATGAGTTCACACTCCTTCACACTCCTCCGGAATCTATGTAAAATGGATTAATGAGATAACGTTGTTTAGGTTTGTGATTAGGTTGATCGAGTCTACCGGTTTTGTCGTTGTCCATACACGTAAAGAAATTTTCAACTGATATCGAATCTATCGTAAAATTCATATATGTTTACGTACACAATTGATGTTAAGATTTAATGAGTTCAAACTGTTAAACTGCGATAATAGTGAAAAATATGTGAAATGTGATGACATGTGTTCTTAAGTGACGGCTTGTTCTCTAATCTTGTGACCTTATGTCAACGCTATTAAATTTCTTTTTGGGGCTTGTGGAAACTTGAGAGCGAAACCAGCACAATACTTGACAATGTGAAATTGAAGATTCATAGTACTGGGGCATTAATATGAATATTCAACCTATATTAATGTACATAAAGAATTTGAGGTAAGGTCAACTAAACTAGAAAGCTTCTAATCCAACCGAATTATAAATTTTTAATCCAAAAAACTCGTAGCTTAAGCCGTCAGCACTTGCTCATACATTTGAAATCCAGTATTCTAATACAGGTGATGTTAGCAACCTTCTCGTTTTACCTTCTCAACTCTCATTCTCATTCTACAATGTTACTTAATTATTAAAACTGTCTACTTTTCATATCACTCTTTAAAGATCATTTACGAAAAATATCAAAAATATCAGAAATTGTTTAACCGTTGGACCACTGTTTGTTTTCAAATTTCAATGTTAGATGATTCCAACATTATCAATTTGAATCCTCCCTGGTAATTATTCTTGGTGCAAGAAAGTGGCATAAGTGGTATCACAACGTGAAGGAAGGAAATTAAAAAAAAAAATAAAAAATTGATCCAATCTGTCGGTGCGTAGAGAAGTCTGAGGGGGCAAGGCACTGAAAACTTATCTCCTTTACAGCTATATAAGCACACAGAGATACCAGAGAGAGAGAGAGACCCACATTACCAAACTATGTCTTCCCAAATTTACCCGTCTTCTTTTCCCCCCTGTTTTTTTCTTCAAACCGGTCAGCTTGTGAAGAAAGGGACCAACCGCCCAACCCATATTGGATAGCACTGGCTTTTTTGCTTATTTGAATTTTCAGTACAGCTCGAGTTTAGGCAAAGTTAATGAGCATGCTTTAAGCTGCATTCACATTCTAGAGTACATCGGTGACATAAATTGCTGAATTTAACGGTTGGATGTGCGCTAAAGAATTAAGGGATTTAACGAGTACAATCTCATTCTTCAAAAATTCACATGCTAATATATGCCTTCATAAAAAGAAGAATACATACCAGAAAATTCCCCATAAGCTCTAGCTCTAAATTTAACATCAACATATCAATCACGTCTCATTCTTCGAAAATTTTAGACTACAACAATGACATACGATGCCGAATTTAACGATTAGATGTGCGTTGAAAAATTCAAAAAATATATAACCAGTAGATCCGAACTACTTAAACTACGATGTGTAGAGGAGCCCTCATTCTTTTAAGTGAATCCAAATTAAAGTTGTTTTGATATAATACTGATATACTATAAAATAGGAGAGTGCATCTTGGTCACATTTTTGCCTGGTCAAGAAGCAACCAAATATTCACTACTTTGGGAATAAAACGTTTCTTAGCTAAGTAGCTAGGTAGCTTTACGAACAAACGTTACCATGTGATGAGGTCACATTTACAACTACAAATGAAATGAATGCTATGAGGCTTTGGCCTTACTGTATTGCCTTCACTACATACTGCTGGAAATTCAGACATCCCATGTGAAAATCTACTCTCCTTCAATCTCCATTCGAATTTTAATCACATTCACAACGCATGGGTTTTAATGAACTATTCCCAATATTTTTTTAAGCAGGAAATGTGAATTTCTTGAGGGGCTACTCTCTTGCTACTTTATGTTAGATCTAAAGATAAGGGAGAAGTTTTCCCTTTTTGTCTATCTTACATCACACCCAACACTATTCTAGATAAGATCTTCACTTTACATCAAATAAAATTTCACGATTCCTCGTTTGCTCGTCTCTACTCATCATGTTTAGTCTTGTCGTTATCATTCACCACGCTCCCGCATGACTCAATCTCGGGCCTATATAGGGATAAAATGATCCTAACTGCATCTTGAAATGCTATTAACTCTTTAATTAAACAACGTTATAGAGCGAATCCACAAGCGATCTCATCTCTTGCAAAAAAAATAGGATCCTCTCAATCGTCTTAATTTTAATTGGTTTCTAATCTCTGCCCCCATCAATCCCAATCCATGAGCTTGATGCTTTCATAACTTGGTTAGAAGATGCATCCCTTGCCAACTAAAATTTGTTTATGCTTTATGCATTGCCCCTTTTTATTGTTTCTTTTCTTATGAAGGAAACTCTTTAGTCAGCGGCAAACCGAAAGAACCAAAACGATAACATACGAAACTAGATCTACAAAACAGACGATTGCACAGGAATAATAAATCAGTTTTCAGGGTAACTATATATTCTGAAATTTTTAAGGGAACTTTAACGAAAAGCACCCGGTACTGTTCACTTTAACGAAAAACCACATTTTTACACTAAAAAGTCAATCCTGATACTATTCACTTTACCCTTTATTTTGTCCTTATCATTCAAACTCAAAGTTTTCAAGCCTTTTTCATTAGTTTTCCTAATTTTTAATCGTTAAATCGCTCCATAGGGTTTTAGAATCTAAAATTTGAAACTCGGGGAATCCCGGGATATCAACTCAACTAATCCTCAAGGGCACACGTAGAACGCCAAAATTGAACAGCCAGGGCAAGGCAATGAGAAACAGCCTAACAGAAGTGTATCACGTATGCATCCACGAGAAGTCGACCATAAGACCTATATAAATCTTGAGCATTCAGTAAGTTACAGGGCAGGAAATCAAGTTCCCCATTAGACTAACGACAAGACGTTTCAAGGGGGCAACAAAGCTTACATAGTACAGTGGCACAAACGTAAGTACATGTATATAAACGATCGATCAAATGTATCGCATATGAAAAGAGTGTCGGAAAGTATCCACTTTCTCAGTCTCAGAGCAACGTTGAAAATACATCGGAATAAAGGCCACACACTGGTATATTTACATGCAATTATGATTCACTGGTTACTCCCAGACCCAGTACTAGATAGGATACTCTGAAACTCCAATATGTAAAAGTGAGAATAAGCGAGGAGCACAAGCTGCACATGCGAAGCTAATATTTATCTATGCAGCTTCCGCAAAACCGATTCTCTCATTGCCATAGTCAAACACAGTATGATAGCGACCCATGAATACATCTCCCAAGATCCTGTCACAAAAAACAAAACATTAGTAATTTCCTTTCGAGTCGCTCTCTTGCCAACAAGAAAGAAAGGATCATGCAACCAACGAACTTCACAACTTCCATTGGAGAAACAAAAGTATATCACCACAATTATCTTGACAAAAGCAAGAGGATCGTAAAACTGAGGGGTAATTTGTTTGCGGTCACAAAGATATTTCAATGTTAGGATTAGGTCAATGAAGAGAAATTTTAGCGAGCGATATTTACTTTAGTTGGAGAAGAAAATTGTTTTATTGACCTTAGTTGAAGAGGAAGATTGTTTTCCATCGACGATATTAGAATTGAGATGTCCATCAAATTATACCAACATATGAAATATTTATTGACCCAAACAAAATTCCTAAATAGAAGTCTATAATAGATGGCAGATTGTACCAGAGAGGTCCGCGGGGAGGTGGGACATCCAAAGCAGTAAATCCACTAATGCATTGTGCTACATCTCCCTCGCCTACCTTGAGCACATACTGATTTCCATAAAAAAAAAAACATGAAAGAAATATATTAGTAATGCAATCAAGTAAGCCACCGTTAATACTGTGCATGTACAGACAGGTCAGTGGCTGGAAGAGATAACACAAGATACACCGTCAAACATAACTTTAAGTGTCAGAACAATGAAAGCATATCTAAACATTATATGGCACCTGCTCAGGGGTGAGATCAAATGTTCTTCCACCAATTGTAAAGGAAACATTGGGCATGGAAGACAAACCACCACAATCAACTGCAGATTCTCCCATTGGGCTAGGCAACCGTTCGCAGAGCTGCATTTACAAACCAGATTATGAGCAAACCACAAAATAGCAACCTAGAGAAACATATCCGAGAAAGGGTAACTTCACCTGATTCACATAGTCAAGAATTCGTTCCTGTGTCTGATTCTGCTTGAGCTGGTTTTGCATCCATACAACCGTCATCTCACAAGCAGAACACGTCGCATCAGATAAGCCACCAGAAACCTTGTGAGCGTTCTCCTCCACAACACTCTTGATTCCAATACTGACCAGTCAAATTGGCAAAAATAAATAAACAGAGTGCACTGGAAATACAATAAATTATATAGATGACAAACTGATTGAAGAAACAAATACATGTATCATAAGTAGCCTTGTTATTGTTAAGATAGTTCAAAGCAAACATATTTCTATCATATCCCTCAAACCAAAGTGAGTCTAACCTAACACCACGAGTCCCATCGAATGAGCACAAACCAATCTTAGAGCAGATTTTCGCTGGTTGATCCTGCCAAAATAAAGGTAATAAATACAGTTACTTAGAAATCAACAAGTACGTATATAAATCTCCTCGAGTTCCCCAAACCAAGCTTTTGATTGATTTTACATAACAATGGGAGCATAGAAATTGTACCTTTGCTAAAATTCTCTCAATTATGGTTTCCCCATATTGTGCAACTACAGTCTTGCACTCTTGACTTACAATCCCAGAGGCTCCAATGGCATGATTAAGTTCAGTGATAATAGTCTGTAAATGAGAAACAACGCACAACAAATAAAAAACAAACAATAAACACGTAAACATGCACATCCACACGCAAATACGTTAACCCTCAAACCAGGAACAGACTCAAAGTTACAACAAAATATGTTGTAAAAAATAATTGATTTTCCTCGTCTAAAGAATAATCAATCAATAGGAAAGCAATAACAGCTGAAGTACCAGCTCAAAATCCAAGGGCACCGTATGTTTCCACTATAAAATAGAAAAATTAGAGAATAAAATTTGCATGGATTGATGAGAAACCCACAATTGAAAACAACATTTTAAAAAAAAAAAAAAAAAAAAACCAGAAAGAAAAGGACTGCATCCCCATATATGATGTGCAACACAATAACACCACGAAAATGAATAGAATTCCTCTTAGAGGAGATGCATTAAGGCCACCCTTAACAAATTCTGAACTATCTTCTTAAGTAAAACGGAGACTGTTCGACTCCAGAACAAAAAAAACACATAATAACACACAAATACGCACCGTTGGGCCAACCAACAAAGAAGTTCCAGAATCAGCAATTGCCGAACAGCCATCAGCACAAAATCCTGAAATAGGTATGTTTACATCAGCTAGAAGTCAATAAAATCGTACTAAACAAATATCATGTATAAGAAAGAAGAAAGCAAATATAAAATATCTTTCACTTACCAGTAGTTTGACCATCAATCATAACATCACCCATGTCAAACTGCCAACAAGAGCAATAGAGTGGGCAATATTAGAATTTTTTCACAAACTCGATTTTTATCACACAATGAACGTTCAGAACACCAACCTGCCAATAGCCTTTCTGTGTAACAGGAACATATGTGTGCTTTCCCTTGTAGTGATTGGGGTCCACTCCACCAAAAACAATTTCACCTCCTTCTTCTTCGTCAGCATTACGGTTAAACCAGAATGAGAAAACTGGTTCCTTCAGGAGACCCTGATTGACCATGTTATACCTGCAGAACTCCTATAGTTAGAATTCTCAGAAAATGAAACCTGTGCTGTTAACTTACCTTGGGAGTCAATGACACACAACCTTCAGGACTAAACAAAGCAGAAACTCATAATAACAACACAGGAGACACAACGTACCACACAGGTACAGCATTTCCAACTGAAATCTCTTGAAATCCAAGTCCAAGTATGCCATCAAATTTGGCTACCAGGAATGTGATGCCGGGTTCCTTTGTTGCCTCAATAAATTCCTGAAACAAACCGCCTGTGTTAGTAAGGGCAAACCACCAACATGAAGTTCAATGTGTATGACTAAAATGCTAAACTAACCTGATCTTTAACCACAAGATCACCAACTGTTACATGATCTTCACTAAAGAACCCAGAAATAGCTCCCGTTCCGTACTGGATGGCTGCAGGCTTACCTGCATAATGGAAGAAACCAGAATATCGTCTCTTGTCATGAAAAGGAAAATTCCACCAACGAGTACATGCATTAACCCTTGGACTAACAACAATAAAATAGAATAAACAATCATGCTGACAGAAACAAACCATTTTTGTTGTAGGTGCTCGAACTGCTTGACTTGTATTTCGGATGTAAATAGCACGCAATCTGCACTCATATTCAAAATAGTTACATTGTCTCCAATCTAACATCACGAAGAGAGGAAATTAAATTATTAATAACATATAAAGGATAACAAAACTAAGACAAAGAAACTCACCGAGAAATAACACTTAGATGAAGGCACCCACAAATTTGAACTACCAGTATCAAATATCACAGTGAACTTCTGAGGGGGAGTGCCAATACCAATCTCACCAAAGTATTGAGCATCCATGTAATTCTTGAGAGATACAATATCAATGTCCTCAGAATCAGCCAAATTCCCACCCAGACGATACTTTTGGAGAGCAGCTCTCAGAGCCTCTCCTTCATTGGAATCAATCTGGGAAGCAACCCTGTTATTTTGATCAAGTTTCCTCTTTTTGAGACCAATCCGGAGCAACCCATCATTGGACTCGCAGAAAACCAACGGACACAAGAAGAAGCACAGAAAGAGCGTCGCTGTAACAGATTTGAGTTTGGTTTCCATGTTTAACTGCATGCAGAAAAAAAAAAAAAAAAATCCGTCTCCTTAATTGACCAAAAAAAAAAAAAAAAACCATCAATCACCAAAACATATCCATTCTAAACCCTTGTTGACGAAAATAAAAAAAAAACCTCTAAGCCCTTAAACTAGTGAAACGCAATCACAACAGTACTCCACCGGAGTCACAGTCGAGTTTGCTCACAAACACATCAATCAAAAAATTCAACAAAAAAGCGTCGCAGACAGAAACCAGGTCATCGCTGTCTAACACTGCACTCTTTTACTTAATATTTTCTTCAACCACCGTTTATTTTCCTTGAAAATGAATAAAATTCGGATAAAAAGAACAAAATCAGAGTTCAAATTACAAAAAAGTCAGGTCAGCTCAGTTAAATAAACCCAATTTTCGTAATCAACCACAACCATATCAAATAAAACAAATACACAACGATTACTGATCAATTATGCACGAAATCAAAGTTTATCAGAACAAATTATAACGCAAACAGACAGAAAACATATCTCTAAAAAATTAAAAATAAATTCCCGAAAAACAAAAATCTATGGTACCTGTTGATCACTGCTTTGATAGAAACTACGGTTTCGAATTGAATTCCTAAAAAAAATTATAAATTGAAAGCGATAATTACAAAGGAAATTACAGGAAGAAAATGACTCACAGTATGTAGGCAGGAAGACGATGAGAAAGGAAAGGAGTGCGCTTTTCCCCCATACACTTCCCACTGGACAAGATATTTATATTTCCGTTTGGATTTCCAAAGCCGACAACTTTCAATCTCATACGTACACGTGTTCTTGATGACTGATCATCACGTCCGCAGAAGTCGTTTTATTCTTTTCGTGCAAGAGAGAATAACGAAGGAAAATGAGCTGTGCTCCTGTGTGGTGAAGACTACAGAGTCTGATGATTAGCTTTGGGTCCGTATGGCACAAGCCCATCTCAACTTCCATGATTCTTTCGGCCCAATGACTCAATGCTAAGTCTCAAGCGCAAGATAAATTGGCCCACTCTTTTGAGTTGAATATGGAGGAGCTTATACAATGTATTTTGTTTTAGGCCGTGTCTGATTAAAAATCAGATGATTGAAACATTAATAACTCATTTACGTAATCATAATTAAAATAGAGGAATTGAATTGATGAGGAATTGAAACGAGGAGGAATCAGAATTAGATTCTTGTTGAAGCTGTTTACTTATTAAAGTGAATGTACAGTACAAGGGAGTTGAAATTGATCAGCAACAATGCACATAGCTACTCGAACAACATGAAAGACGATATTGTAACTGATTATCAATGTCATATTTAACGACATTGCCTTCACGTATTAGGAATACAGTTAAATTAGATTTGATTAAGGTTAGCTTACTAGCTCTTGAAAGAGAATTGGTTTTCCACTAGTTAGTTTCTTTTGACCTCTCAAAATTAACTCCGAATTTGCAGGTTTTTAAAAAAAATTATACATTGTACATCCCTATATATGTACTTTCTTATTGTAGTTTTGTGTTGTATTTGTAACAGATTTGCGATAGAATTTCTACAAGCATTACTAATTTAATTGGAAATTTAAAGAAGTTTATTTTTTCCCAGAATCTTCAGCAAAAGAGTTTAAGAATATCTAGAACATTTCTAGCAACTTTGGTAGTGGCTTTAGAAAACATTAGGTTGGCAATTTTATAACCAAAATGTGATGAAAGAATTCCTACTTGATCGCGTTTGCTATCTCATTAGCTGTCTAACAAGTGACTGCATGCATAAAATAGATGCAAGGAGGGATCTCCATGTCTAATACCTTTGCTAGGGTAGATATAACCATTAGCCTTCCCATTAATAAGGAAGGACAAGGAAACAGAAAATATACAATCCATAACTAGATCAATCCAATAATTATCAAACCCAAACTTATCGTAGCAGCTCTTTCGAAATCAATAATTGTTAAGCCATTTGATTATTTGTACTTTATTTCAGCTTTGTGTACCATACCATGCGTTTTTGCATATTGTAGATGATCAGCGAGTTTTGAATTTAGACAGTTTTTGAAAGTATGACCTTTGAATGAAGATCTAATAAATATAAACGATTCCCATCATAAAATGCATTGTAGTTTTAACTTGTTTAAGTTGTAGAAAGATATTCATCCTTATTATAGAAACTCTATATAAGGCCATATGTACGATTTAAAATAAATTGGGGGAAAATTAAAAATAAATAAAAAGACATTGAATCAATGAGAGTCTTTTATTACACTCAAGCTAAATATCTAAGAATTGACTTCATATCCATATTTATCATTACCAATGAAAATGACTTATTCATGTATTGTTGCCACTATCGTTTCCTGGAGAAACATTGTTGTTGGTGTTATTGTTTGACTGAACATTGCCAACGATAGAGGTGATGGCTGCTACCAGAGCCGTTGTGAAATTAGGGTCAGCTGCGATGGCTGCTGTTGCTGCACTGACTTTGTCAGCCAGTGAGTGTGTAGTACTATCCAACCCCTGAAGGCTATTGAGAACCGAGAATTTGGGTTGGTTGTAAAGGGCTTGACCTAGAATTTGTGGCACAGACATAAGATTGTTGTGGGGAAAATTTGAAGGGTGCTGGTTTGGTTGGCCAAGTGGCATCTCTGAGGAAGTGGGAGTGCGAGTGAGGTCCAAGGTGACAGTAGGAAATGGGGCTGTAGCCGAAAGTGTTGCCAAGCTTGGTGGGCAGTTAGGCAATCCTGTTCTTGCTAGGAAGGTGTTTGAGCTTATTAGGCCATCGGCACTAGGATTTGAGCCTGATAGAAGCATTGATGCTGCTGCTGATGTAGTAGATGCCATGGCCATTGCAGCTGGAGGGAGTGGATGGTTGTGTTGACCTTCGTATGTTGTTATAAGTATTGTTCGATCTTCCGCACATCTTTGTACCTGGTAATGAGGAACCCAATTAGGTCCATTTGTTAGGAAAACTGATTTTCTCATGCCAAATTAATATTTTGACATGTTGTGTGTTATCAGACTGTTAATCTAAAAAGAAAAAAAAAAGGTGTACCTGTTTGCGAACTGGGCAACCAGTTGCCATAGTGCAACGATAATAAGCTCGAGGGCATGGATTTCCTTTAGCCATTTTCTGGCCATACTTTCTCCATTGGCATCCATCAGATATCTGCACGTTCGAATTTAATATTATGACTGCTAGGCTGTGTATTTGACTTTCTTCAAATAGCTAAGACAATCAAGACTAAGGTAGATATCGAGAGAAAAGATTATGAAATTCTTAAACGAGCCGTACACTTCTCTTGGTCTTATTGGTTTCTCTATCTTTGAATTATATTCCATCAGTTCATATTTTCTGCATCTTTTAGGGAATCAAGGTCTTTTTGAAATGTTCGAAAAAGGATATGTTTATATACAGGTATATATAATTTGTCATGCATCTGATTAGGAAAATTAATTTCAACGAGAGTGGATCATGGTGGGAGGGTAATTAATATTCTTTTGAGATTAATGTTGTCATATAAAAACTTATGTTTTAGATTGTAAATTTGGATCACCATGTGTATAGATAAGAATCAACTTGACCAATGAAACAATTACACAATTTGACAAATTAGGTAGCAAAAAAAAGATAGTCTAGCGAGAGAACATTTTACGAGTGAGGTAATATTTTAGGGTAAAGAGCCAAAATGGTCACTGAAATTTGCATAACTCATCACTTTGGTCTCTAACATTTCAAATCAATCAAAGTGGTCCCTGAGATTTGCATAACTCATTACTTTGGTCCCTAACATTTCAAATCAATCAAAGTGGTCCTTGCGATTGTCCACCATCCATCATTTTGGTCATTCCGTTAAAAACTCCGTTAAGTGTCCCGGAACTCTTGGCGGGAAGTTTGGGCAATTTTCAAAGCTTCGTAACTCAATCGTTTCTTAACCAAATTCGACCCATAATATATCAAAATGAAGATAGTAAAGTGTAGAATAATATTATACCTATTTTAAAGCCCAATGGATGCCGGAGATTGCCGGAAAATAGCCTCAAAGTTGACTGGTCTGAGAAAAAACTGGAAAACTCGTCGGAAACTGGGTAAATAGCCTCAAAGTGGCCTTGGACAGCCACTTTGGAGCTGTTTTCCGGCCAAACCACGGCGATATAGCCATCTAAAAAGGTACCATTCTCTTTTTCTTGTCGAAAAGTATGATTTTCATTTTTGAATCACTTGATTTCGTTGAGTACTGAAGAAGTTATGAATGTTTAAAATTTATCCCAGTTTCCGTGCGAGTTTTCCAGTTTTTCCTCAGACCAGTCAACTTTGAGGCTATTTTCCGGCTATCGCCAGCTACCGTTGGGCTTTCAAATATGTATAATCTTGTTCTACACTTTCCTATCTTCATTTTGATATATTATGGGTCGAATTTGATTAAGAAACGATTGAGTTACGAAACTTTGAAAATTGTCCAAACTTCCAGCCAAGAGCTCCGGGACACTAAACGAAGTTTTTAACGAAAGAACCAAAATGATGGATAGTGGACAATCTCAGGGACCACTTTGATTGATTTGAAATGTTAGGGACCAAAGTGATGAGTTATACAAATCTCAGAGACCATTTTGGCTATTAAGCCAATATTTTATGCATATACACACTCATCATATTAGTCAAGCAGAGGTCAAGGTAACGAGTTTCATACCATGGAAGCTTCAGATCGTGCTCGAACAGAAACCCGAGCTTTTTTAATCATGGATATGGTTTCGGATGAGGCTTGATCCACTTCCCTAGGAGGGCTCATCAACTTGGGAACCTTATTAGGAATCCACCCTTGAAATTCGTGGTCAGGGCTGTCTTCTGCCCCAGTAGTACTACTTCTTCCACTAATATCCCTGTGAACATGACTAGTACCCTTGCAGCACTCCATTGACTCGACTATGTTGTTTCGAGGGAACGACCCAGAACAATCTTGGGATCTGCAGCCTTCATGAGAACACTGTGAAAGCTCATCTTTCTCAGCCCTTCCCATATCCATAAATTGTCTTGGAGCAAGATTATTGAACTCGTTCATCAACTGCTTCTCTTTTAGTACCTCTGATCCATTTAAGTTCATCTAAAAAAAGCCATGAACGTGATGATATTAATAAAATTAATCAAAGACATAATTAATAAAGAAACGTAATTGAAAAATAATTTTGTATATTTGTTCTATATATACCTTGTGTTGTTCTGCAGCTTGTTGATCAGTCTTTTGATTTTTCAGTTTCACAAGGTGCACCTGCAACGCCTGGTAATTAGTGTTAACCTGATGAATCACACCTCTCAACCGTTGATTTTCTACATTCATACGGCCTAGTTCAGCTTGAAGAACTGCCAACTGCACCCAAAATATTATAACTTTTCACTTGAATATCGATCCAAATTAGGATCAAAATAGTTTATTATTTAAAAACACTTGCGGAAAAAAATTTATCAGAGAATATAGGAGTAGGAATAGCATCATCATATCGATTTTTCAAAGCTGAGAAGCAAAAACACTGACTAAATATTCTATGTTAGATGTACCTCATTTGTTCTATGCTTGTCTTCCATATTACGGGACGACGAAGTTCCAACATCCATGGATGATTTGTCGCTACTGGTGTATGTTGTAAGAAGATTCAATCCAGTCTATGATTATAAAAATTACAAAAAAAACAACAAACCCAATAGCACTAAAAGTCAGATGGTGTAAAAAAAATCAAAATATAGAAGTAGTCAATAATAAGTAACCAGCTATATATAGTGGTTTCACACATTTACGTCGGGTAGTTGCTTTTCTTGACCAACCCCGTGATGATCGCATTCTTCTTTAACTTCTGCCGTGTGATCTTTAGCTTCTTTCAAACGACCCTTATGAGCAAAGAAGTCTAATTCATCTACAACTCGCTTCCCATGATGATCGTGATCATCCGCCGTCTCGGGAGAAAGTACGACATGCTGTGCTTCAATTGATCTGCAGTTGTGAATAGAATGATCACTAGCTGCAGATTCCATGACGGATATTGTATACACGTAACGTTTAGATTAATTATAGGTTTGGTCTGCTGAGAGTGACGATGTTGGAGATGAAGACGATGACTGTGGTAGGAAGAATAACAAGAGCGAGCTATGGACAGGCAAGTCGTCGTCCTCCTTTGTCCACATAAATATTTAAAGGGTTTGGGGAAAGGAATAAGCACAAGAAGAGAGAGGGGGTAGTGAAGTTTGAAGTCATAGGAGATGCAACAGACTCGGCTTTAAAAGAGTTTGGACTAAGACCATGAGAAAATGAGTGAGATCTTGTACCAACAACATCATGAAATAATATGTATGGTAGAGAATAGAGGAGTGAGGTCAGGTGGTGCGTCAAGATACCACGTGGCTTTACAGTTTCAGGAGAGAGAGAGAGAGAGAGAGAGAGAGAGAGATGTCTGTTAGAATCATCTCATCAAAATATTATGTAGGTAAACAAAAAAAAGATACATAGAAGTTAAAAGCTGCATGAGAAACAAAGTGTACGTAGTAGAGATTTTCCAGATTTTAATTAAAGAATTGTAACATGCGATCGTAAAATAATAATTAACTGCATCATTAACATATAGCTTTGATTTGACCTTCGCCAAAAAAATTTAGTACATAATTAACGATAGTTAGTAGCACTACACCTACTGAAATTTACTACAAGTAATGGTAAAACTCATAGAAAAATTCCAAGGAAAAGAATAAACAGAGGTGGTTGAAATTTTGATAGTTTTCTTGGAGAAGAAAACAGAATATAGAGATAAGTGTTGTTTGTCAAAGAAGTGAGTTTGACTTATTCCCATGTATGCAATGCATCGTTCCTATTGGTCCGGCGCAATCCATGTGAGGGCGGAGAAGGGGCGGAGTCAACGATATAGACGGCCAAGCTTCCCTTGCGACTATACTGGGTCCTACGTATGTTGTTGTTTGATTGCCCACGTTTTCGTTTTGGATCAAAGACTAAAAGACAGACAGAAGAGAAGGTGGTGTAGTAATTTTGGTGTTCCAATATTCCAATATTGTCATTGTATAGTCACTCGATGATTCGCGTGAAATGTGATGGAACCTTAAAATAAGATAATATGGGAGGTGAGACAATGAAGTGTATGTATATATACGCACACATTTATAATTGGTCAAAAAGAAAATGTGCAAAATGAATGTGATTTTTCAATGTCGGTAATACTATTTGATACCTTTGTCCTTAGTAACAAACCTTAAGTCCTATGTAGTAAACCTTAAACATAACACAAGTGTTACAATGCGTGTTAACTTATAAAGCAACTCACGCCGTTTATTGTCACAGACTTGTTTCATACCAAATAATTACCAACTAACTTGAAGTGAGAAATGGGTTTTTTTATATGACCCTTAGGAAACTAGGTTATATCAGTGAGCCGTATCGTCATTTAGCTGAGGTCAGGTGTTTGTTAGGCTTAAGCAGTAGTGTTGTCGATACATGACCTAGACAGTAGTGGTTCTTATAACAGTGGTAGCTCTAGGACCATGAGAGTAAATAATACTGAAGAAGTAACGGTTTATAAAAAATGACTTGAAAATTGAAACATACCTAAAGTCCGTGTATATGATATATACAATAAAGGATTGTATGAATTTAGATTTGACTAGTCAACTAAGATGGTTGAAAAAAGGGTCTCTGTCAATGGTGTTAGTGCAGATTTTCAATTGCTTTTATAAAATCAACTAGATCAACATATGCGAAAAAGTAACTATTTGCATATTGGTCTGATTCAAGTAGCAATAAAACCGTTAACAAAAACAAGGTTAGATACCTCTATTCTACTATGTTGGAGAGATAAATGACATAGAAACTTTGTTAATTCCATGTTGAGATTACTAGAGTTATCTCTTAGTAAAGGACCAATCTATTTCAATTGTTTCACAAACATTACGTAAGGGTATGATTAGAACCATGATCATAACATTTAGTTGTGATCTATAGAATTTCATATAAGGTGATGAATTCCATTGTACCTAAGGAAAAAATTCTGGATACTAAGGGACAAACCATTATGTTCCAAGCTAACATAGGAAAACCCCATATAGTGGTACCTAAAATGATAAGGTGGAATGAATTTACTCGAAAGATGGAGATTGCAAAATGCAACTCTGCCTCAACCAATTCAAGATAGAGAACTTAGTCATGTAAATCAATACGAAGATGGAGACATTGAAATACAATTTTCTAATGATAGGATGGCTAGTTTAAGTGTTGGTTCTAAATTAAGCGTTGATTCTCTGACGCACCAAGACCCCTTCTTTCTCGAACAAATTCATTTAGAAGGCCAACAACAAGATCAAACTCTTATGAGCAAGATCATGAGAGAATTGTTTTTGAAGGTCTTAGGCAAACTAGTGAGCAAGTACAAGTTTCACTTTATAAAGTTGAAACACTGGAGCCACTACCCCTTTAAGAAATCCTCCACAACCAAAACCGTGATGGTCTGTTGTGGATTCTAACATCTTTGTCATAACAAAGTTCGAACCCAAACCCTGCGTAAAGCGGGAGCCTTGTGCACTGGGTACGACCTTCACCTCTCCCAGACCCTGCGTAAAGCGGGAGCCTTGTGCACTGGGTACGACCTTTTAGACTATCTTAGTGAAGAAAATACTTAAAAAAGGAGAATGGTTCGAAAACACTTATAATCAAGAAAAGCAAGCTTTCTTAAAGAAAGCCCATTTTCAGTTCATGAAAGAAAATGAGTTTAGTGCAAGGTTCTTTACTTGGTATGAATGGTGTGCCAAAAAATGGAAGTTTTCTGAATATGCTGAGTATATAAGTGTCAATGAAAATCTATTCAGAACTTATATCACTAAGGAGGGAAAAGCAGAAAAGTTAATTCACCCTCCAAAAAAGGGTACTCAAGTGAATAAAAGAGGAACTTTTGCCTCTCAATATAAGGAAGTACCTAAAATGGCTCAGGATAGTTAAGCTACTATCACTTCCCTATTTAATGGAGTTTCTGCTGTTCTACAACAAAATAATTATACCAACCTATTCCTTTATTAGGCAAGCAGACATCCAAAATTGACAATTCGTTTTAAACAAACGGTTTAATAAATGCAACAATTTGGGAACCTAGGCCATCAAGTTGGAAAGGCTTCTAACAGTAAGAACACAAATAACAAGCCCAGTCCAGCCATGTTTAAACCAACTTAACTTCTTCACCTAAAAGATCACAAGTTTAGGAAAAACTTTGACAGATGACAATGATTTTATAAATGCCTTAGCTAAGAGAATAAATTCTATAAGAATATCTGACAAGAACTCTAAATTTTCATTGATTACTGAAACTAACCTCTCAAATTTAGAAGAACAATTTACTAATACGGGTCCTGAACTAGGACTAAATATGATAAAATTTGGGAAAAAGATTTAAAGAACACCCCCAACAAAAAATTACTATCCTTGGCTTTGATTAGTTGATATGCAAGAAAATGATATGGGTGAAAGCATCAAATATGATGGAAAAGCAATAGTTGAATGAAATATTGATGGGCAAACTGAAAATCAAATCATTAATACCGTGAGACACATGATGATGTTTCCCTTCGCCAGTAAATTAAACTGCTACTCTAATAGAGAAATTGCTCAAGCCATAGTCGCCCGGTTTATAAGACAACTTCAAGGATGGTGAAATTTCCATCTAGCAACCAAGCTAGAGAACAAATCATTGTAGCTACAAGCGTAGTTGGAGATAATAATGGTGAGCCTGTTCTGCAAGAAGATGCAGTCAATAGTCTAATCTATAGCATTACTCTTCATTTCGTTAAAACTACTTAACTCCAACAAGACTGATCTAGAGAGCTTTTAATGAATCTTAAATGTCCAACTTTGTCTCAGATGGTACAAACATGTTTGTTTTATGCTAAAGTCTTCACTATACTTGATTGTTAATAGAAATTTCTTTCTGGATTATCCTCTCTTTGTGTGGAAACGATAAGAAATAGAATGAGGAACAAATTTGGCGGTGTCATACCTTATGATAGGTATACTTAAGGTGAATTAGCCAGTGAAATCTGTGTTAGAGAATTAGCACTATGTAATGACATGAAGCTTAAATGACAGCTTAAAAAGCAAACAGCCTTAGGAAAGTGTTAGAATTCCTTTGTCCCACATCGGCCATAAGGCTTAAGATGGTATCAGAGCCAGGGGATGAGGTCGTACTGCCACATGAATGGATGGGTCCCCTTTGGCCCAATGTGAATGGGTGAGCCCCGACTTGGCTCCACGTAGGCTAAGAGATGCCACATGAATGGGCGGGTCCCCATTGGCCCCGCATGAACGGGTGAGCCCCGGCTTGGCTCCACGTGGTTGCCGATGTGTGGAACTTCACGTGTGACCCATAAAATGGGGTCTCAAGTGCGGGAGAGTGTTAGAATTCCTCTGTCCCACATCGGCCAGAAGGCTTGAGAACAAGCCCTTTAAATAGAATTACCTTACTTTAACTAAAACTGAAACCTTTTGTATTAAAACTCCACACCTGATGGATTGAGCAGGTGGCCAAGTAGAGACAATATCGATGTTATTGGAGTGGGCCCATGACCCATCTGCCTGAAACTTAAGAGAAAGAAAGAAGTACGTCATTTTGTCGATCAATTTGGTTTTGAACCTATTGCAAATCATCTGCAAGAAAGCCTTACAAAAAGGACAAAAAACATTATACGAGAGGGGATGATGATGATAATCGTCGTCCAAAAAAGCCTTATGAGACTTTTAGAAAGAAAATATTCATTCTAAAAGAAAAAGAAGCAGTAGCAAAGAGAAACCAATGGTTTGCTACAAGTGCGGAAAAATAGGACATTACATAACTGAGTGTACTATGAAAGAAAAAAAATTAATAATCTTAATATTGATGAGAGCTTGAAACAACAATTGTTTCAACTGATGCTCAATTCTTCTTCTGACGAAAGTGATAATAATGTGGCAGTCGTTGATAATGAGGATATATTTGCTTCAGCCATTGAAAGTTGTTCCACTCAGATGAAGATTGCAAATTGGAATCCACATCTTTTCGTAAATATCAAGGTTCTAAAAGATGCCAATTGTTAATCGGGCAGTGAGTTGGGACGTAGCGCTTAGGTGGATTAGGAAAATTTAAGTAAATCTACTATATAGTTAAATTAAATTTATTATATAATATATAAATAAACATAAAATAAAAAGAAAGATTCATAAAATATTCATAAAATATATAATATATAACTTTGAAAAGAAGAATATATATG